TTTACCCGTTCACATTATCTTAATCAAAAATTAAATAAATTTTATAAAATTTAAAATTAATATATAATATTATTTAATGATATTTTACAATTACATTATTATATTTATATTAGAATATTTTTAAATAAATATTTTTTTTTAGTTCAAATATAATTAAAAAATAAATTTGATTTAAAATAAGTAATCAAAGCTTATATAATAAAAAATACTTGTATAATTATTGATCTTTAAAATAACTATATAAATAATAATAATTAAATTATATAATATTACACAATTTTTTTTAAAAAAAATTGTTTCTTAAAAAAATAAATTACAGTTATACAAATAGATTACAAGAGTTATCCTTTTTAAAATTTATATAATATCACATGATTTGCTTTTATTATTTACAATAACTATTTGAAAATTTGTATAATATCACATGATTTATTTTAATTAAATAGCAACTAATATTATATAAAATATTACTGAAAAATTAGATTTATAAATATTTTGACTAAAATTAAAATTTTAATCTATTATTTAAACAATTTATTAATTTTTAGATTTTACAATCTTAAGATAAAAGATTTTATATTTTTAAACAATTAAAAATATTTTTTATTTTTTATTTTAAATTTATTAATTTTTTAATTTATTTAATAAGATTTTTAAAGATATAAAAATTATTTTATTTATTTAAAATATTTAAATTAATATAATATTAATTATAAAATAATTAAATCTTAAATTAATAATAATTAATTTATATTTATAAAATTTTAATTTATTATTATTTTTTTTAAAATTATTATATAATAATTTTAATATATTATAAATTGATATAATATTTAAATATTTGTTTATAAATAAATAAAATTCAAATATTTGAAAATATATAATTAATATTTGAATATTAAAATAATTTCAGATATAAAATGATTTAAATATTAAAATTGATTTCAAATATCAGATTTTAAATATTAAAATTAATCAATTTAATCAATTTTATTGATCAATATTTTTTTTTTAATTTAATATTTATTTTTTGTTTTTTAGTTTTTTCAATATATACTGTATATATATATATATATATTCTTTAATCAAATTTTTTTATTTTACTTTATTTATTTTTTTTATAATTTATTTTTTATTAAAATGATTTTTGATATTTAAAATTAATTTTGATATCTGAAATTATTTTGATATTTATTTAAAATTATTTTAAAAACTTTTAAATATTTGAATTAAAATTTGTATTTTAAACAAAAACCTATTGCAACTTCATAATCTATTTATATATTTGTAATTTTATAATTTATCTATAATTTTATAATTTAACATATATAATCTATTAATAATTTTATAATTAAATTTATAAACTATTTATAATGATTTAATCTAATTATTTATTATTTTTTTTCACTTTCTTTATATTGATTTTTTTGTAATAATATATTTATTTTTAATAATATAATTTAACTGTAATTTTTTTATTTATCTAAGAGCTTTTCATAATCTATTATCAATTATTTAACTTTATTCTGATAATTCTTATAATATTATTTATTTATCTTATTTAAATTTTACTTTATAACTTTTTAAATATTATATTAATTATTAAGAAAATATAAATTATTTAAAAAGTAGAGAATTAGTAAATTAAAAGACAATTACTGTATTAGTTATTGAGGATTTAAATATTTGAATAATAAATTATTACATTTTTTATTTATAAATTTTGATTTACTAAAAGATATTTTGAATAATATTACTTTTAAACTTATATGCAATTATGTAAAAAAAATGATATTTACTGTATAAAAATAAGTATAATAATTAAAAAAAAATAGTACAATTGAGTTGTAACTTGTGATACAATTAAATTTTTTTTATGATGCAATTAAATTGAAATTCAATTAAAATTTATAGTGACTATCTTTATTATTATATCTTTAGAGATATTTATATAGAAATATTTTCAGAATAAAAAAAATAGTATAATTATTGCTAATAATAATGATTTGAAAAAAATATTTCTTCATATCTTTACTTTTAATATAAAACTTAAAAATATTTCTCAAATTATAATTTATACTAAATATATTCAAAAATAATTCTATAAAAATTATAAACTAAAGTATTATTAATTATATTACAAATAGAAGATTTTTTTTTTTTTGTGAATATTAAAATATTTAAATTAATTAAAAAATTAAAAATATATATAAATAAAAAAAAAAGTGATAACCTAAAAAAATAAAACTATTTTAACTTTATGATTCATTTGCTTAATGATAAATCATTAATTATTAACAATCTTTTCTTAATTACTCTAAAAATAAAAATAATACTTTAGAATTAAACCATATAATTTTTATTATTATCATATAAATTAAAATTGAAAATTCAGAATAAAGAATTTTTATTAAACTTATTATTAATAAAATAGTTTTAGATCAAAAAAAATATTTAAATCTAATAAAATTTAATAAATTAAAATATTAGATTCTAATAATTACTTTATATAAAAGGTTTACTGGTTTATGTATATTTTTAATAAAAAAATTTCTTATATTAAATAATTTAAATAATAGTTTCTATATTAATAATAGTTTAAAAATATGATTATTAAACCTAATATTAAAGAATATAATATCTAAATTTAAACTTATTGATTATGAGATTAATATAATCAAATTAAGAGAAAAATAATAAAATTAAGCTTATAAATATAAATATTTAAATAGAACTAATTTAGTATTATAATATCATTTTCTTTCAATATCTTTAAATATTATTTACTAAATAATTTATTTTTTTTAATATTTTCTTAGAATTTCTAGCTAAACTAATAGATAAGATAAATCTTAAAATTATAGATCTAATTCTTTGATAGATAAAGAATATAATTAGTAATAAGAACTTAAAGTTTATGTACATCATATTATAAACTGTAAAATAATATAAATATTTTTTATGAATATATACAATTAAAATAAATAATAAAATTAAATTATTTATGAATATTTTTAAAAGTTTTAATATAAAATAAGAGGCGGTCAATAGAAAAGAAGAAAATTCACTTTTTAGTCAAAATTTTTTATCAATTCATTCTGCGGATCATGATAATGTAAATAAACTAGCTTAATAGCTAAAATTACTCAAAATTTATAAATTTTTTTTTTCTATTAATTACTCTAAATATAAAATAAGAAATTTTGCTAAATAATAGTTTTAAAATTTATGCTTTAATAATATGAAAAAATATTATTATTGATTTTATTAAATATAAAGTCTTAGGATTGTATTTTTATTTTGCAATATTAGATTTAAAAAAAGTATTTAGACATTTTTATAATGCTATTTAAATTTAAAGTTTATTATTATATCTTATAAGAAATTTATATATTAGAAACAAATATAATATATATATTATAGAATCAAAAAATTATATAATATTATACAATATAACTTTACTAATAAAAAGAAAATAATTATAAATATTTTAAAGATTAAAAAATAACTAATTAAATAAAAAGTTATAATAGATAAATAAATAATTAAAATTACATGTTATAAAATACAAATCATATAATATAAGACAAAAAATAATTTACATAATAAATAATACAAATATATAGATAAATCATAAGATATAAAAGAATAAATTATTAAAGTTATAAAGAAAAAAATAATAAAGAAAACCTTTAAAATAAAAGAAAAAAAAGAAGATAACTTACAAATATGCATAAGATTATACTGTAAAAGTTTAAATAGAAAAAATTAAAGAAATAGGATTATAAAAATTTTATATAATCTATATTATTAAAAAAAAATTAATGAAAATAATAATGAAAAAAATAAATATATATAGAAATATAAAAAAAAAAAAATTATTATATAAAATATAAGTAATATTAAAATATAAAAAAATAATTATTAGAAATATATTGATAAGTTTTTAAAAAATCTAGATCTATATAAGAATTTTTATTTTTTATAATTAGTTAGATTTTTCTTCATCTTAACAGGTCTTTGATTAGAAATTTTAAATAGAAATTTGAAGGATTTTTAATTTTAATTTAAAAATCTTTAAAAATTATAAATTTTTAAATTTTATTATTAAATACAAATTTAAATTTAATATAAATTACTATTACTAATAAATTATTATTATTTATCATAAACACAAAATATAATATATATAAATATATTTTTACTAAATACAAAAAAATTAAGTTAATAATTGAAGTTTATTCTTTTATTATTTATAAAATTATATATATTAGTTTAAATAAATTAATTATAATTTACAAATTCTTATTATTATCTGAAACTTAAATTATATAATTAAATTTAATATATAAATTATAAATTTTATTATTTATGTATATTATTATTATATTTTTCATTTTTTAATGATAGGTTAATATTTTACTGGATAAATTAATATAAATATTATTAATTTAAAGTTAATATATAAATAATTATATTAAAAATACTAGAATATCAATATATTCAAATTTTAATGAATTACATAAATATAATTTATCTACTAATTTACATTTATATTACTTATATTTTAAATTTTTAATAAAGTTTTATTATTATTTTTATAGTATTCTATATTAATATAATAATATTTAGGATTTAATAGATAATTTAACACATAAAATCACTTTAAATAATTAATGCTTCTATAGTTTTACTGATATAATACTCTAAAAAGCAATTATATATAATATAATACTTAATTGATTATTAACTGATTTTTCTTTTCTACTCATTTGTATGAAGTAAAATAATTATATAAATTATTCTAATATACTATATATAAATACATTTTAATTTGAATTTTTAATCAAGATACCATATATATTAATTATTAGAAATTCTTATATCACAAAAAATTATACCTAAAAATTATTTTTGTTCAGAAATATCATTAATTCTCATTAATTTTAAACTTATTTTGATTATATCTTACATCTTAATTTATAAATTCTTTAAGTCTATTAGACTAGAAAATAGAAACTGTTATTAAGTTTAATGATCTTAACTAAAAAATTCACATTGATATTTACTTTATCTAAAATTTATGCAATTATAAAAGTCAATTAGTATTGATTTAATTATTGAGTAGGCAAATACTGAAATAATTTTTTTATTATATATAGTCCTACACTTTATTTTAGACTAATAACTTTTACATTATTAATTAAGCAAATATACAATTCTTTTTTAAATTTAATTAGAGTATTATAATATATATATATTATTTATTATATTTAGAATAATTATTAAATTTTTATTAATCTTATAATAATATTTTTCATTTTTTTCACATTAGAATTAGAATATATAAGATACTTTCAACAATATATTTTTTAGATAGTTATTTGCATAATTTATAGTATTTTTATGAATAAATATTAAAAAATCATATATAATATAATAAGTATAAAATAAAAGTTTTTTAACTTTATTAAAAGATATTTTACTTAAATTTTAAATAGATTAATTTAGATCAGATCAATTAAATTACTTAAACTAAAAGAATCAGATCATATAAAATAAAAATTTAATCTGATTTTAATTTTTATTTATTCTAACCTAATCTAATTAAATTATTTAAGAAGAATAATTTATTATTATTCTAATTGAATAATTTATTATTATTTAAGAAAATGATGATTAACCTAAATTTTATCTGATTAAATTAAGTCAAATAATAGGTTAATCTGACTTAACATTAATCTGAAAATTTACTGATCTGACCTGAATTTTTAGGTCAGATCAAATCAGATAAACAGGTTGATCTGACTTGATTTAAAATTTTAGTTTTGCTAAATTTCCTATTTTTCTTAGTCATTTGAATAAATTTATTCTTAGAAAAGTATTTTGAATTATTTTTAAAAGTGTTTTAAATAAATAATAAATATGAGAATATCACATTTCTGATATTTTATTATTATATCTATATTGTAAATTGTTTAACATTTATATTACTATAAAATTTAAATTATAATAATTAAAATTTTGTAATTTTAAAAAATTTTAATATTAATCTTATTAAAATTTATTTAAGATATTATTAATCATAATATAGTATTATAAATTTATTATGAAAAATAATTTTAATTATTATAATTTTTATATTTTTTGAGAATTTTTATAATTTTTATTAATAATAAAATAATTCAATTAATTTGCAAATATAAAAATTTTAAAAAAATTATTATAATGAATTTTTAAAACTTAAAAATAAATTTTAAATAAATTTAAAATATTTTCTAATAAAGTAGATAATAATATATTAAAATATATTTTTTATATTTTACTTATATATAAAATATCAGTTCACTTTGTTACGTCTCTTTATCAATTAGATTATAATATATTACTAGATAATCAGATTAGTAAATTATACTAGGGCATTGTTTAGGTAAAAGTTGCTAGTAAATAATATATTACTAAAATTAATATTTAAAATTTTATTAGAAAATTAATACTTTTTTATATTTATAGCCTATTAGATAATTTAATAGATAAATATTTTATAATAAGTAAGAAAATATTATAAAAATTATCATTTATTTTATATATTAAATAAAGTATAAATAATTTTAAATTTAATATTAATTAAATTATTTTTTCTTTTTTATTATAAAGTATTATTAAAAGATAAAATAAAACTAACTATATTAGCAATTAATAAATTAAAGATTATATTAAATTAATTATTTAAACTTTTTTCTATATATATATTCTAATTTATTTTTATAATATAATAAATAATTTAATAAATATTAATTAATTGAATTAAAAAAAAAGATTTTTAATAATTAATAAATAATAAAATTTAAAAAATTTAATAAGATTAATATAAAATAAATCTTATTAAAAAAAAAATATTATAATTAATTAACAATTAAAATACTAACTAATATAATTTTATTAACAGTTCTTATCAAAGTTAATTTTTTTACTTTTTTTTTTGTTAAAATATTTAATTGAAATTTTCTTTATAATTATTTAATTATACCTAATTTATTAGGTAATCAATAAAACATATTATATTAAGACGAAAAATGTTTTTATCCTTACTAATTTTTTTTTTAAAAAAAAAATCACATATATGTTAAAATGATTTTTCTTTTAAAAAGATAGTTATTTTAGCTATGTTGCGTTTAGTGATAAACTCATGTTGACAAGTATGTTTGATATTGAAATGGTATAATGTAATCAAAGTTTGAGATACTTCATTTTTTTCTTTAAAATATAATATTTTATATTAACAAATGGTTTTATCAAGTTTATTTTAGAAATTGAATAATAAGTTCTTTTAAAAGAATAACAAAAGATTAAAATAAAAAATAAAGTTTAATATTAGAAAATATCACCATTCTCTACAAATTCTTTAATTTTTTTATCAATATATTCCAACTTATGTGAAATAGCCTTTTTTGAATGATTAAGAAGTTCCTTTTCAAAATCGTCAGGCGATAGTTTTCTATCGATATTTTGAACTTTGTCAAAAGTTTTTTCAATTTCTTTAAATAAAAAAAAAGTTATTTCTAATTAATGAGTTGAATTTAAAATAAATTATGTTTATTCTTGTCATTTATACCTTTGTGATTCAAACTTCACGACGAGATGATTTTTCTTTTATGCAAGATTTTTTAAAGGATTTCTCTAAAATATCACTCTTGCGTTCCTCTTGAGACAAAATCATCGGGTCATAGGATAATGCTTAAAAAGAAATGACAGTTTCTTTAGTAGTGGAATTGGTTTTGCGTTATTTATTTGCTTTTTTTGTTTGTTATTTTTTCTTTTCAGGTGATGAAAAGTCTTGATCATTTTCTTGAAGATTTTCTTCTAATGGACCTTCAGCTTCATCGTCAGAATGTTGACAATTTTTTCTTTTTAACTCATCAGACATTTCAATATTATAAAAGTTTGGAAGGGGAATCTATGCAAGTCAGTATAGAGTTATAGAGTGGTAATATGTTTAAGAGAAGAAGACATTATGATTAATAAATAAAATAATTCCTTAAAACTATCAATTAAAATTTTGATTTGATGATTTGATGCAAACAAAAAAAAATATTTTATTATTATAAATTAAAATTTCAGTAACTCTTGTATGACCAAAAAGTTGCTTTTAACCTTACTCATCATTGATAAATAAACCTTATCTAAAAACTCTCTTTTTTAAAAAAAAATTTTTTTTTTTTCAGATACATTTACGTTTAATGATTCCGTTTATACCAACAGATATTATTAGAAAAGTTTTCTTGTTATTGTTAGAAGAAGAAAAGAGGAGCTTACATAAATGTATATTTGTTAATAAGGGATAGTTTGAGAATGTAGCACCCCTATTATGAAAAAATCCTTTTAAAGTTCTATTCAAATATAGCGCAATCGCAAGATCATATTTTGGATGTCTTCCTGAGAAATCCAAATTGAAAATTCAAATGAGAGGGATTAACATCATACTTCCTTCATTTAGGCAACTATTACTTAATTATATTACTTATTGTCAAGATATTTGATCAAAATCTATTAAAAAAATAAGTTCAGAAATCATTGGAAACAAATTTACATTAGACTTTATAAGGGAGTATAACTTAAATCTCGTAGAGAAAGAACTTTGGAAAAATTTATTATCAGGATGCGTACTTTGCTCTATTGAGTTACCAAATTTATCATTGGCCTATTTTTCTTATTCATTAATAACATTTTCTAATTTAATTGAATTGGAATGTTCAAGTAGCTTATCAATGGACTTTTTCTTTGAATTATCAATAATTTGTCAAAATTTAGAGAAAATCTATGTTAAATTGTTATATTGTAGTTATGACAATGAAGGTTTAGCCACCTTGATAGCATTTCAGAAAAGATTAAAATCAGTAGAATTCACTACAAAGAGCAAATATGAATACAAGAAATTGGGAAATGTATTAGGTACTCAAGCAAAGACTTTAACTCATTTGAAATTCTCTGGGAATATTTATGTGAATTCAAAATCATTAAATCTCTTGACCAATCTAAAAATATTAGAAGTATACTTTCATACCTTTAGAAATTTGGGAATTGGCATATTGCATTATGTTACGTTCCCTTGCCTTGAAGAATTGATAATCATTTATCCTTTTGAACAGCCCCTTGAACTGTATGTGAAATTAAATGAGGGTACCAAGGGTGATTTGAGAAAGTTAGATATAGATTCAAGTCCTTGACCTTACATTGCAACTCAATGATATGTACAATCCATATCCAGATTTTGTTCAAAGCTTGAATTTGTGAAAATTTGGTTTGATAATGTAAGTGAATTGGAAAATATTGAAACAATTTTAACTTGTTTACGGTCATTGAAATGTCTTACCATAGATTCTATTTACCATTATAGTGAACTGGGTAGATGTCATGCTAAAGTTATTTTTGATTTATTGGTTGAAAAATCCGGTCCTCATTTATTTGAATTATATTTGAATGGTTTGTGGGATTTCTCTGAAGATGAATTAGAAGGATTTTTAAGTGATTGGAAAAAGAAAGGAAGATCACCTTTATCAATACACTTTGATACAGATGATGTGGTCTTTGATCAGCATGTTGACATCTTTAACAAATATCATGATTTAGGTGTTTTATCATTTTGGGAATCATATCACTTAAATTCAAATTGATGGAACCTTTTTTTTTATAATAAAATAAAACAAATTCGTACATCATCACTTATGACGTAAACACGTTTTTTTATTGCACTACGAATTTTTTTTTTAATTTTATTCAAATTATAAAGAGATGCTAACGCCAATTTTTTATATCTACTAAACTAATCGGATTTTTATCGTAAATAATCCTGAAATAGAATCTGATATGCTTGTTTGTTAGACGGCCGTACTTATTTTATGTAAGATTCCGATCAGAATTAATCTTAACGTGATGAATTCTGCAACAACTCAATTTTCAAAGAAGAACGACATAAATCTAAATTTTTACATTCTGTAGAAACCTTTTAGAAAATGAAATCTGTAAAATGTTTATGAACAAACGTTCAATCATAAAGTACCTTGAAAACAACCAAATATCTACTACTTATCACTTGCTTAGTACTTAACAAATTTATCTCGAATAATTTTGTCGAAAGATTCAAAAAAGGTACATTATGTATTAAACTATTTGCTTTCGGAGGACAATCCCTGGGTGATTGTCCTTTAAAACAAATAAATATTACACCTCCAATAAATCGAGCCGAAAATTCTATTTCAATAATTTCCCATGCTTATTAAATCAAACTTGTGAATTTTAAAATGTTGACCTTTATTAATCTCCCGACACTTGAGATATTGAATGTAAGATATGCTTAGTTTATCGAAAGAACTCAAGTAACGCTCCGCGAGAATCTTTGTTGACATTAACGAATGACCGAAGAGAAAAGTGATATAACCATATTTATCGCATTATTAGATTAACGTTAACGATTATTTAAAAGTCTTTGAAAGTTATTAATCTGGTCCAGAACTGCGGTCTATTATTTTCAGGACACTCCCAGATCTACTTATTACTGGTTAATCACTTTCTTACGAGGTAAAGGCCTTAATAATTAGAAAGGAACAACAAAATGTATGCATTTTATTTACGAAAGCATCATTTTTTAAGTCTGAAGGGGTTTTGAGAGGTTGGAAAGTCTTGAAAGAAAACGACCGAGATTAGACAGGGAAACTTAAATAATATAAGTTGCTTTCGAAGTCAACAAACAAATCACATACAATCAAAGTTAACATTAAGAAGGAACAATTTATTAAATATAAAATATTTAATAAGAAAAATAAAAAAAAAAAAAAAATAAACAAATATAAAAATATAAAAAATTAAAGAATTAAAATAAAAAAATAAAAATAAAAATTTAGAAAACCTATAATTAATTAATTTTAAAATACTAGATCAATATCATATTCTCCTGGCGATAGCCTTGGCGGTAGTGATATACATGTAATTATTACTTGTACTTCTTACTTCGGAAGAAAGTTTTTGTAGTAATTCATCATATTCTGAATCCGTAACGTTCATTATTCTTTTTACCTTTGGTTTTATGCTTCTATAAACTTCAATTAATACGTCGGCCACCTAAAATAAAGTCATTTCTTTTAATACGAAAAAAAAAAATTTATTTTTTTAACGAGATTGAATTATTTATTCATTACTGTAACTACCTCTAATCCAAAATCATTTCCCCATTTACCCACGGCAACTTTCTTCTCTATTACTTTTATTGAAGTAAATTTGTTCGTTGACTTTAATAGATGATAAAACGGGAAGTCGTGACAAAGATAATGGTTATTTGCTTGATGGTATTTATTGACTAATAGACAAGTTTTTAAAAAAGTTTATTTGATTTTAATAAAAAAATAATAATAATTAACAAAAAAAAGGTTTTCGAGATAACTCACGAGCGTTTTGAAATTTCCTGGCGGTTCTAGTCAAATTATTTTCATTAACTTGTATTTCCATTAATTCCAGCCAGCCACCGGGTTTCATAGCTCTAGCGAATTCATTTAACATTGTATTCCATTGAGATTTATTTAGTGCTATCATCATGGACCTTTGAAATATAAAATCAAAAGTTGAATCCTCAAAAGGTAATCCGTTACATATGTTGTATTCAAAAAACCCAAGGTTTAATGGTTTGTCATCATTATCATTATTTGAAAACACTGGCACCATATCTAATCCCACAAATGTTGAATTTGGATATTTAACCGCCATTTCATATGACCATCTTCCTGAGCCGCAACTAATCAATTTCGGAAAAAAAAAAAAAAAAACACCATTAATTTAAAAAGAAGAAAAAAGATATTAGGGTATACGTATACGTACCCGCAGTCCAACACTTTTGCACCTTTTGGAGAATTTAATTTCTCCTTTACAGGAGAAGAAAAGTTACTTCCCCAATGTTGCTTATAAAGTTCGTGTGCGACATCAGCTCTTCTAATTTCAAAAGAATCACTTGGTAAAACGTAAGTTGATGTGTTGTTTGTGATATTGTGATATTTTCTACCATCTATATACATGTAAGTATCAAAATTTACCGTATTGGACCATGAACGTATTGAATTCGTATCACAATTTCTGTTACGGTAACGCTTTAACCCAAGTAATGATTTGCCACTTATTATTATCCTTTTAAAAAAATAAGGAATTTTGTTTGAGAACCGTTTTATCTTTACTTTTATTTTTCTTTGATTCATCTTGTTTTCTCCTCCGTTTTGTTTTGAGGAATTCATACGAGCTTTTTATTCAAAATTTTTATTTTTTTTTAGTTTGAATAATTAATTTTCATTTTGATTGCCGATCTCCCATGAAAATTGAAACAATAAAATATTGATCTTCAAAGATACACTTTTACAAAATAAGTTATCGATTTTTAATTTGTTACATTTTAACTGGCTCGTATTAAAATAAATAAAGGATTAGAAAGGGACAAAATCGGTTAAAGGCATGTATTTCAAAAATCATCGGATATATCACAATATAGTAAAACCATTAATATTTGGGTAGATCATAAATTTTTTTTTTTTCTTTGTTAAAGTAAACGAAAATATTAATATCCAAAATCCAAAATATCATGAGGTAGAAATCACGTGTTCCTGAACAATTGATGGGCAATCTTAATGTTATTGTGAATTTTCATCACCATAAGCTCCTGTGTATCAAGTCAAAGATCCATCTTTTTTGTGATCCTTTTGTAGAAAAGATTTCTTATTTCCTTGTCAAGACTATGGTTTTATGGAAGTTGCGAATTCGAAGATCTACGAAAAAAAATTTTTCCTTCTCTTTCGCGAGGCTTTGGAATTATTAGTATGAATAATAAATGAGAAGATTGCTAAGAAAATCGGTTCTGAGAATTTTTTTTTTCATCACATTTGTGTTTTAGATCAAAAAAATGCAATAGGATCTTTTCCATGTTTTATAAATTTTTCGGCGGGAATTTGCTGGACGGTGTCGAATGGATCATTACACCGTGAAAATTAAATGCTGCAACTTTTGGTTGGCACAAGCACGAGAACAAGCGATCGTGCATCGATATCATTGTTTCTTGCAATTTCAAGAAGCTGATCTCGAATCAACTATTAATGAATTTTTTTTTTTTTTAATTGATGTTTCGCGTCAGATGTTCTACTGGCCTAAATTACTGGCACATTTTTTTTATAATTCCCTGGCCGGCATCACTATCGATCATTTTCGATCATTTCTATATTTAGTATCCCGTCAACGAAACCCGAGTCATCTCGATTTTCCGATCCTCATAAAAACCGGTTTATACCGAAATAAACTAAACCTAATCAAGTAGATCATAATAATAATCTTCTTTAACAAAAAAACAAAAAAAATCATTTGATCAGTATTATCACTATGAACCTCGCAAAATTGAAATCTTTACGGTATAGCTTAGTTAAACAAACGCAAGACATTTCCAAAAATGCGTCAGTATTATAATAATTATCAAAATTTTGTATACAAGAGGGATTCCTTGAATTTCTTAAGACTTGCAATTATAATTATTGATTTTTTTAAAGAATAAAAAATAGCAGACCTCAAAAATAAAAAAGCTAGAATTGTTACAAAAGACATTATTATTATTACACTTTTTATTTTAATACAAAATTAATGTCTAATCATTAATACATAAATAGCAAAATAATATCAAACAAATACAATGATTAAAGTAAAGTTGACAATACATTATTACATCTAGAAAAAAAAATTACAAGGTTTTAATATTACAATTTTAACGTAAAATACTTATTGATCATTTTTTACCAATTCTTTGAATATCTTTTAAAATGTTGCCCATCAAGCGAACACCTGAAGGGTAATTTGGTTTCAATTCAAGGAATTTATTAATATCATTCAAGGCTAAATCTAATTGATCCAATTTCCAATATGTATATGAACGTTTCTTTAGAGTATAAAAGTGCTCATTTTGAAGTACTAGAGCTTTATTAAAGTCCATTAAAGCTTCTTCGTATTTATGAAGTTTCAAATAAACGTCTCCTCTTTTACTGAAAACTTTGGCAAAATTTCTTTCACCTTGCATCTGTTGCGTCACGCTTAAACCTTTATCATACCCACTATGATTTCTTTTAACGTCGGGGTCATGATCATCTGAATCAATATAAGTGTAGTCTAGTGGTTCTATTTCTAATGATTTATCAAAATCAGATAAAGCTTCTTCATAACTTCCGAGCTTTCTAAAAACATTTCCTCTGATCTCAAGTACATATACATTCGTAGCTTTAATTTTTAACGCATGATTAAGGTCTATCAAAGCATCATCTATAAGTTTAAGAAAAAATGGTCAACCATCTAGTCAAATTTTTTTTGTTCTTTCATAAAGAAATAAGTAATTTTCTTACCGTATCGATGGAGTTTACAATATAGTTCCCCTCTTGAACAATAAGCATATGAATTTTTTGGAGCAATCCTAGTAGCTTTATCCAAGTCTGATATTGCATCCTGCGGTCGTTTCATTAAATAATGGATATCAGCTCGAAGTAGCAAAGTATTGACATTCAAAGGTTCTATCATTAATGCTTTATCAGCAAGACTTAATGCTTCCGTATATTTTCTCAACCGTCGATAAATGTCAGACATTTGTTGTAAAGCAATTACATTATTTGGTTCAAGTTCCAACGCAAAATTAACATCGTGCAATGCTTCATCTTTGCATTAAAAAAAGGTGAGAAATTACACATACAAAATGTACACGTTAATAAGAATCAATAGCACATATTAATGAACTAAAAGGTAAAAAAAAAAATATGTACCATATCTCCGTAATTTAACATAGAGTTCAGCGCGATTCCCGAACGGGCTAACTTTAGTAGGATGAAATTCTAAAGCATTATTAAACGACTTCATGGCGTCACTCCAACGTCTCATGTCAAGATAAATTGCACCGCGAAGTCCATGTTGATAATCACTTTTTGGTTCGAGGAGGCAAGCCTTTTCCAAATCCTCTAAAGCCTTATCAGGAAACATCAACATCCGGTATGCTCCGCTACGATTTCTCAACGCAATTGCATTATTTGGTTGGAGTTCCAAGGTCTAGAATTTAGTTGATTTGAAGAAGTTAATACAAAGCACGATAAAAGTATGGAGTTGTATTGTACGTGACACGGTAAACAACGCAGTCACGAAACGGAAATGGAAATGCATTACCTTTGTGAGATCAGAGACTGCTTCTTGATATTGACCGTTATCAAGATGAATCACTCCGCGAGTTCCGTAAGCCAACGCTTTGTCGGTCTTGAATTTAAATGCCATTTTAATATCCTCTTTCGCATTTTCGTACCTTTTTAATTCTCGATTAACGTCTGCACGATTGATGTAGGTAAACGCGTCGATTTGACCTACTTTAATGACCATATTCAAATCCAATAAAGCTTCTTCAAAATATCTCATCATGTAGTAACAGAAAGCGCGCCATTTATAAGCGAGACTGTTTTTAGGTTCGATTTCAATGGCCTTATTAAGGTCAGATACAGCGTCAACATAAGATTTTTGCAAACTTTTAATCATTCCTCTAAGACACCAAGCTCTCGTCTTATTAGGTTTAAGAGTGATGGCATGATCCAAGTCATTTAGTGCGTCCTCATAACTTTTAAGTTCACGAAATGATTCAGCCCGGTCACATATTGTACTATAACTATCCGGGTAGTCTTCGAGTAATTTTGTACACCATATGATTACTTTTTCATCGCTTTCAAATAATTGAGCCTTAAAAATTTTAAATTTTGCCGGATGAAAGAATTTGGGTCTTTTGAAATTTTGTTTTAATTTGGAAAAAAAATTGAAAGACTTGTTCTTATTTTCTTTTGGAATGGCTCGATTTGATTTAATAATAGCTAATAAGCCACAAATCCAAAAGGTCGAACCAGCGGATGCGTTGGATACGTTTTCATTGTCGGCCTAATATCGTATTATCGCGAAGGTAAGTAAAGAATTTCTGTAACAAAAAAGTAATTATAAAGCATGATATGCGTACCTTTTTTAATTTATTTTTCAAGAAACCTTTCATTTTTGAATAATAAATAAATATATATCGAAAAAAAAAAAAAAACTAATGAAGAATTTTTCCTTAAAAGAAAAAGAAAAAGAAATCCTCTTGATGGAAAAGGAATGAAAGGAATGGAATGGAATGGAATGGAAAGGAGAGAATTATATAATGTTTTGGTATTAAAAAATTACATAATCAAATTGCAAAAAGTATTTTTTTTTTTAAAAAAAAAAATCTCCTAATATTTCAAAAACCAGTTTGCTTGTTTACAAATTTACTATGGAGGTAAAATTTCTTCGTTTAAAAGCATTATTTATTATTGTGAAATTTAAACTCACTAATTTGTTCTATATTTAGAAACCCCTTTAATGCTTTGTTTCCTGAACCGTTCCTAAACAAGATGACTAGATTAATCTAAACCTGCTGTTATCAAAAGCCATGAACCCTGAAATTTTATACCAAATTCAGATTTGTTAAACCTGTTATTAATATTTATGTTATGTAGATGAATGCAATTCTTGAATCCTATTAAGGTGAAATAGATTCTTGGAATAAAAGGTATTAGTAAAATAAATCAAGTAAACTTAATGCATGTAGAATTATCATTAATAATTTGTTCCATTTATGGATGATATTTTTTTTTTTACACGAGGTATCTTTGATTGTAATATGGTATTAGAAGAAATTATGATTATGTTGTGCAATCCTTTTCTTTATCACTATATCAATAACTGCTTGCTCATTGGTCAACAAAAAAAAAAATGATGGGGATAATGTTTCTTTTCATGGGGAAGAAAGATACTATTATTGAATGCATGGGGCTTAGACTTGGGATGGTATTTTTTTTTTTTGTTGGGATAAATTTAAGTGGCGCAATAGGCGAATCAAAAAGTTAAATGAGTTGGCAATAGGGTAACCTTTAAAGTCTCAACCCGTAATTTTATGCAAGGAAATTTTTTGATTCGACAAAAAGAAAATTATTGAAGTACATAGATGTACATGTGCATTTTTGTTTGTTATATTATTAGTACATCAAGACGATGGCCTCCCATAATATATTATTAAATCTTGGAAATTATCTCATTTATTATTATGACCAGCATACGAATATGTAATGAAAAAAAAAAAAAATGAAAGATGAAAATGGAAAAATGAAAAATGAAAAAAAAAAAAGAATGTCTACTTTGCTTCATCTTCTATTATCTATTTCATATTTATAATACAATGAATATAAGAAAAAAAAAGTTTTTAATAATGTTCTTAAACCCTTTTCCCACAAAGTTTCAAATTGATCAAGATTTCGCGGATTCTACTATGCTGTCACGAATTCGAATTCCGGAAGTGCTATCTGATTTACGGAATCCAGTTATATTGTATTTTTTCCTCAGCTCCAAAAATCTATTAATATCGTCTAACGCTAAATCTAATTTACCCATCTTTTGATAAACGCATGCTCGCTTCTTTAATGCAAGTAAATGCTCAGATTGTAACGCTAATGCTTGGTTCAGATCCGATAATGCCTCTTCATAACGATCCAACGCTAATAATGTTGCTCCACGCCTTGCATAAATACTTGCAAAATTTCGTTCTCCTTGCATTTTAAAGATTAAAGTGAACCCTTCATCGTATCCTGAATGATTTCGTTTGGCCCTGATGTTATGATCATCTGAATTAAGATAAGTGGCATTTAATGGTAACAACTCTAAAGATTTATTAAAATCATTTAAAGCTTCGCAATACTTTCCAAGTTTACGATAGGTATTGCCACGTATCTCATAAGCAAAAGGATTTGATGCTCGAATTGTCAACGCCTGATTGATGTCGGCTAAAGCCAAATCATAATTTTTCAGTTTAGAATTTACTTCGGATCGGCAGCAAAGTGGTGAGCATGCTTTTGGAGAAAGTTTGATAGCGTCATCTAAATCCTTGACAGCTTGTTTAAAGGAATTCTGATGATAATAGATTTCAGAACGAAGTATCAAGGTATTTTTATTTTTGGGATGTAAAATCAAGGCTTTGTTTGCCGTCGATAAAGCTCTTGGATAATCGCCCATCCTTCGACAAGTATCTATCATTTGCTGAAGAGAAACCATGTGTTGAGGATCAATTTCTAAGGCCTTTTTAATGTCGAGATAAGCTTCATTGTACCTTCTTAGCTTAAATAATATTTCGCCACGATTAGAATAAGGGGTGACACTCTTTGGATGATATCGTACGGCCAAATCGAAATTTGTTATTGCATCGCTCCACCTTCTTAATTCCATATATAAAGCTCCACGTATTCCATATTGATAAAGATTGCCCGGATCAATGAGACATGCACGTTCCAAATCCTCTACAGCATTATCCATTTTCTTTAACATGCGATAAGCGCTACTTCGATTTCGAAGAACAGTTGCATTATCGGGTTGTAATTTCAGTGCCTAATCGAAAATAAATAAATAAATTATAATTAAAAAATTAAATTTATAGAGATTGTAATATTATACGTTTTCGTATTTTAAAATTTACCTTTGTAAAATCCTCGACAGCCTCCTCATAACGCCTAGCATTCATAAATAAGACTCCACGATTACCGATTACGTTAGCTTTTTCGGCTTTGGTTAACTCGAATTTCAGGGCCTTTTTTATGTCGGCCATCCCTCTGTTAAATTTTTTAAGTTCACGATAAATATCAGCTCGATTGATGTAAACCAAAGCATCATTTACACCATAACTAATAGCTTTATTAGTGTCATCCAGAGCTTGATTGTAATGTTGCAATCTATAATGACAATAACCTCTCCATTTGTAAGCATAGCCATCGGTCTCATCCATTAAAATGGCTTTATTTAGGTCATCTAATGCTTCATCGAAATTTCGAAGGAAACATTGCATGACACCTCTAAAACAGATTGCCTCTTGTTTTTTTGGTTTTAGGGAAATTACATGATCGAGATCTAGTTTTGCTTTTTTATATTCCAACAGAACGCGATAAGCATCAGCGCGAATATACCTAATTGCATAACTATTTGGATGGATTGCTAGCATATCGGTTGAAATTTCGGCGATTTTCTTATAATCATTGAACAATTGAGCTTTTATTAATTTAAATTTTAATAGATGAAAAGATTTTTGGACAGATTTGTTAGGTGAAGCGGAATTATCAAGAGATTTATCGGGTATTTTGTTAGGTGTCGCAACTCGATCCAAGAGACCGCAAGACCAAGGGTGAGATTTTGGAATTTCTGATGTTAAAGAAGGTGAATTCTCCTATATTCAACAAAGCAAAAAAAATATTATTAACGAATTCTAGGATTCCAGTCAACAATAAAATCATAAAAAAAAAAAAATACCCTTTCTAATTGTGCCTTGGCTAAACTCTTCATGTTTAATATAATAATAATAATATTAAAAAAATAAAATAATAATAATAATAATAATAATAAAAAAAAAAAAAAAAAAAAAAAAAAGGAATGTTCCAATTTTTATACAAGAATTCTCAGGTCATTTGACCAAATTACAAAAATTCACATTTTAGAATGTTTGTTATGTTAATTTAAATTACACAAATAAAACAAAGAAAGTTCATTACTATGAACCAATTAATATAGGAAATAATGAATGTTTAATTGCTTTTTTAATAATTCATTTTTTACAACTATCTGCTATGTTTACTATTAAATACATATCTTTTACTATCCTTTACTATATATAATGCAAAGCCAATGTATTAATGATGGTATCGTAAATTTGATTGGTTAGGTGAAAGGAATGAGCCAAAAAGAAATCAAGTTTCATTACCTGTTAAATTTCGATGTAAAAAATCTCGGAACATTTTCAAAAAGGCCAAGGTATTGCGTCATAATTCGTTCGATCAATGTCGTGCAACGTTGTGATATTTTCCAAATCCTCTTGGAAATTCTTTGGTAAGAAATTATCAAATGGCATTGGTTCATTTTATGAACATTGGCCGCTACGAATTCATTGATAATTTCCATGTAAGATTTCTCTCGCACAAAACCATCTTCGGAGATCATGATATAATCTTTTCCATTTATAGTCGATAATTTGCACAATAAGTAGTGTCTTTAACTAGGCACCAGTCTTAATTGCAGTGTTGGTTTTAGGTTTTTGAAAAAACAATAAAATTGATCTGATTAATGATTGCCTTTATCATCATCAACAAATCCCTATATTGATAATCGAATTCCTGGAATTCCTGTTTTCTCTACGGTCATTAACCACGTGATTAACTATATTATGTGATAAGATAAATTTCTCCACACAAAACAAGAGTCGAGTCGATTCCTGTGATTTAATTCGATGTATATTATACTCATCAATGTTCGGGTGAAATCGAACATTAAAATTATTATCCTTATGTCCTTCATAAATATAAACTACATAAATGCTTGAATATAATGAATAATGAAGTTACCGTGCAAAAATAATTTACATAATTCTCAACAGTCGAAAATCTTTTCACCATCGACATCTCTTACAAAAATCTTATGAATGTTTGGATAAACCAAATTATTGAAACTAAAACACATAGTGTTCATTAACCTATCTCACCCAATACTATTCAAATTTTTTCATTCTGTTCTATTCCTTCATTCTCCTTTAATAATATTAATGATACGCATCAAATTCCTTTGCAATCATACTTGAATGCGCGCTATGGATTTGATCGTTTAACTTGTAACATGATTCACAAGAATATGCTTACGATACTTTTGGTAAAAATGACGCATGGCTTTCTGGTGAAGTATTAATAAAATAATTTCATCATTCCCCAATTCGGTAGGATAAATTTTTGATTTGTGATGTAGATCATTCCAAAATATTCTCTCGGATGAGTCGCATGGCAAATGAATGTATGATTTCTTTTGATGCACGTTTAAGACGTATGCAGTGACAGAATCGGCAAGAGTCGGGCTACAACCATTAAGATTCAACTTTAAATCGTTAAATGATCTACACATACGTGAATTATAAATGCAATTTAATCGTTTTTTTTTTTAATCTATTTTCATTTTTTTTTTTTCTTTCCCTGTGAAATTAAATAACTTTCGTAAATTTTGTAAATATAATATACTAGTAAAAAGCAAATGGTTCGCCTTCCACGTCTAAAATACAAAAACAACGACTCTACTCAAGGTAGCGGTGGAATTTTGACTTATGTGTATAGGTGGAAAATAACAAACTGGAGTGAGATACGACCTTTTATGGAACATACTAGTCCGCCTTTTAGTGCTGACGGGTTACAATGGTTTGTATTTATTCTTTTCATATCCTAAAATTTAACTTTGATAATCTTGATTAATTGATAAAAATGAACACGTTGAATTATCAAGGGTCTTTAAGGTATTCAATAATATAAATTTAAGAATTTATATAAATTTATATTCGACGTAATTAATTAAATTATAATTATTATTTCAAAATATGAATAGTTCTATAAGGGACGACAGAAGAACCCGCAGGTATATTGAAGTATTAACCTTCTTTTCCTCTAATTTGAATTTATACAAATAATTGATTTGTATTAAATTTATGTGAAAGGCTCTGTCATTATATTTAGGGATTTTAGAGACAACGCCAGGATGTCTTCTTGGAATTAGAAAAAAAGTCAGTATAATCTTTGTCCTGGAAAACTTGAGAACGAGAGGAATGGATTTTGGCAAAAGTATATTTGGAATTAAATTGAATTACATTTATTTGCATTGATTCGAATCCATTTTAACCTTCTGTTTTATTTTTGCTCGAAAAGTGGAGTTGCCTGTTTGGTTTTGTAATAGTACGTACATATTTCAAACGTTGATTTATAATTTGAAAATTTCACACATTGATTATTAAAGACCCTTTGTTTATCTTACATTATGGGATGATCAGAACATTCCACATGGGGTGAAGAAAATCTCATGACATTAGATGAAATGGACAGGTCATTATAATCATGTCCTTAGTTTTGTTTGAAAAGGAATTTAAAAATTTAATTTTATTATTTTACTTTATTAAATAGGTTCATTAATAATGATACAATATCCTTGTGTGTAAAATTTGAGATTCAAGAATCTATTTTAGATTCACCACCAAAAATTAGTAATCCATTTGATAAACTAGTAAATTCGCCACGTTTTTCAGATGTCACGTTTTGTGTACTTGATGATAATTCACGTGAGAAATTATTCTATGCGCATAAAGGAATCTTAGCAAGTTCCTCTCCTGTATTTGAATCAATGTTAACGAACGGGAAAGAGAAGGATACAATTAAATTATGTCAAACAAATCATTCCGCGTTCCTTGCTTTGTTAACATTCATATATACTTTTAATGTAAATATTACATCTTTATGTGACGCGGAAGATTTATTGGCATTAGCTGATAAGTTTGAAATTTTCCCTGTACGAGAGGAGTGTTTACGTTATTTCCGTTTAGAATTGAACGTTGATAATGTATGGGGAATTTGGGCGATTGCCGGTAAATTATATTACCTTACGATTATTCTTATTATTATTTTTGGTAATTTTCACGATTCTAATATTTTTTTTTTTATAAAATCCTCAACTTACTGATATAAAGAAAAATATTCTTGTGCTAAAACATCAACAACTTGTCGTGATTTTGTTGCATCAAATTTTGAAGATCTTTTGGAGGATCCATCCACGTTACACGCAGATCCAAATATTTTGCGGCTAGCACTCGACAATGATGAAGCAAATGTGAATTCCGAAGAGAAAATTTATGAATTGGTTGTTCGTTGGGCAAATTATTCGTACTCTTCAGATTCAGATACATCATCGGCACGGAATTCTACAAATACTCGGGTCAATGATGAAGATTTACCACCATCTTCTTCAACATCTGCATCAATGCCATCAGAACTTCCAGAAAATTTTGAAGATGCTGTAGATGATATTCAATTAATTGAGAATGGAATTGTAAATATTAAAAATCTTTATGAATTAAATAATGAACAATCGGATATACAAAACGATGGCTCAAATAACTTTCCCAAGCCTTGGTGTGGTGATAGGTTTGCGGCACTTCCTTCCTTATTAAAATGTGTTCGATTTCCTGTAATGAAAAAACAATATATTTTCGAAAAAGTTGAAGGAAATCCTTTCATAATGGCAGCAGATGGAATGAAAGATCTGGTGAGAAATATTTAAATATTTATGACTTGTCAATTTTATTGAAATTAAAGTTCGAATTTTATTTATCGTGATTCCCCCTCCTTATTTCTTTTTAGGTAATAGAAGCATATCGGCATCTCTTGATGCTTGAAGTTCCTAATTCGGGTTCGAGTAGCAGAGTTAAACATCGAAAACGTAAGAAAACCATCGATTAGTTCAGATTATTTCAAGACGTGAATTTTGTTAGGGCTTATGAAGCTTGTAGGATCAAGTATTTTTTATTTTCGAATTTGTAAAGCTCTTGAAATAAATTATTTATATTACGTGAAGTACCTTAATTCGGCCATTATTAAAAAGTTTTGACTTAATGAAATGAATTAATCATAAGAATGCTTTGTTCTTAGGGGATGCTTATATTCTTAAGATTAGGATAAGTAGAATTCAATGAAACAAAATTCATTATTCATATTATTAACCTACTTGATGATTAATACTTTTTTTGTGTGAATCTTCACATTTTTACAATCACAGTACTGTAAATAGCTTGCATTCCTAAACAATACAAACCCTTACGTTTTTTACCTACCAAAGTGTAAGCAAAAATTCAAGAGATATATAATTGTCTTAGTTGAAATTGTATAATAGGTTCTCATTGAAAAGAGTTGCTATCATTAAAGTAAATCTCAAAAGAAGATGCATCTTCTGTAAATTAAAAACAATTGAATTTTATTAATTATTTTATTAATAAAGCTTTATTATATTGTATAATTATTCTATAAAAAAAATTTAATCTCTTAAATAGTAAATATAAAATTATTTATAAAATGTTATAAAAATTATAATTTAAAAAAACAAAAAAAAACTCTTTTTGTTAATCATTTTAAACCAGAAAATAATTAAGCAGCTAAAAAACAGTTTATTAAAATACTTCAATAATCAGAAATTTTAAAATTAAGGAACTATTTTTTGAAAAAGTATTGGTTTCTAAATGAAATCTTAAGAATTGGTGATTTCGTTACAAGTAGTAGCATTGTAGAAGCTCTCACATTTATGGTGTTACTAAAAGAAGAGATGCTCCTATTATTGATTAAAAAAAATAAAAGAAGTTATTTTTTTTAAAACATTTTAAAAAATATAAAAATATAGTCAATTTTTACTTCTCTTCTTGACAAAGAAAAAGTTTTTTAACTGTTACTAATTCAAAAATAATTTCTTTAGATAAAGACTAAGCTTTGATATCTCTGAAAATAGCCTTAACAATAATAAAACAAAAAAAATAGAATTTATTTAAAGCAAAAAATTAAAGCTTTTATTTACTTCACTTATTATGTTACAGTTACTTTTATCTCAAAAATCAAATAAAAAAAAAAACAAAATGAAATATATGATATCTTTCATCTCATTATATATATTTATTAGTATACCCAGTGTTGTTATAGGACAGGGACATAGGACAGGACAGGACAGGATAATTTTAGGACATGTTTCTAATTTTTATGTATGGGACATATTTGGGACAATATATCCGTTAAATTAAAGATATAAAATTAGATATAAAATAATATAGAAATATTTAATGATCATAAAAAATAAAATAAAATCTATTAGTTTGTCATATTAAGATACACTTAATAATAGTATTTTTAAATTTTTTAAATTAGTAATTATTAATATATATTAATTTTTTAATTTTTTAATTTTTAAAAAATAATTTATTATCTAAATTAAATAATTATAAAAAAAAAATTAATTTATTGAAATTATTTTATTAAAACCTATTAAATAATAATATTTTTATATTTTAAAATCAATAGTTAGTAAGATATATAAGTTTAAAATTTTAATTATTTTTAACAATATTTTATCTTTAAAAAATTATTAATAAAATAAAATTACTTAAAAATTTATAGATAAACAGTTTAAAAGATAAATCATGTAACTTTTTTTAATATTTATAAAATATTTTAAATCTTTATTAAATGAACCAAAAACTATTAAACATCATATCATCATAATAATAAATGTAAAAAAAAATTAAAAAAGTAAATTAAGATCATTTTTAAAAAGATTTTTTAATATCCATTTTGCATTACTATCAATAGCAGGATGAGTAATATCATCTATTATATTTTCTGAATCATCATCATTATTAGTTAATTCTTCTTCCTTTAACATATCTGTCCAACCTTGAAGATATTTACCAAATTGATTTTCTATATTTATTTGATCATATTCATCATCTGAATCTGAATCATTTTCTATTAAAATTTCATTATTTTTTTCCATTGAATTAATATCAATATCAGTAATATTAATATCAGTTTCTGATATAACAAAATCAGATATAATATTATTAGAATTAAGA